TAGGGATGAAGTTTCACCATGTTGGCCAGGATGGTCTCACACTCCTGGGCCTCATGTGTTCTGCCCGCCTCAGCCTCCCCAAGTGCTGAGATTACAGGCATGAGCCACTGTGCCCAGCCAAAATACATTTTTACATCCATTCCATCTCCAAGAACAATTCAAAGGAGTACTCAGCTGTATTTTCACCACAATGGAGTAATGCTTAAGCAGCCATGTACATCATTTTTCCTAATAATGTAATCCTCTAGTTTCATGCCCTATGGAATTGATCTAAAAGGATACTGTACATATAGCAGCTAATGCAAGTTAGAGAACTCAGTTTTGAGTTGTAAGACCTAATTTCAGTTTGTGTGTGATTTTGCACAGTCATATAACCCTCTCTGGGCCTCAACTTCCATAACTGTAAAATGGGTCCTACTTTATTTTCAAGGGTATTGTGAAGATTAAATATGTAAGTAGATGTAAAAGTGCTTTGCAAATATGCACTACCCAAACACAAGGGATTACACTGTATTCAAAAGTAAACAAAATATGTATTCCCACAGTAGGGAAAAATCCAGTTCAACTACTATGCTTTAAATCAAGTTTTCCTTTGAAAGCTCCTAAGCCCTGTCTTAAATCAATCAAGAAACAATGAAATTTCACCTTAAGGTATAGATGTAAGCACTCTCAATAAACTTATTGAAAAAGGCCTATTATACAGATAAGAGGCACAAACAGGCCAACCAACTTGGTTAAAAATATAATGACTTGGTACTAGGATTAAATTCCAGAAATCCATGTCATTGTATGTTCCTTAATCTATTAAATTAAAATCGCCTAAATTAAGTTTAAGATTAGCCGGGTGTGGCAGTGTGTGCCTGTAGTCTCAGCTACTTGGGAGGCTGAAGCGCAAGGATTGTGTGAACCTGGGAGACAGAGGTCGCAGTGACCGGAGATTATGCCACTGCACTCCAGCCTGGGTGAGAGTAAGACTCAAAAAAAAAAAGATTTTAAGCTAAAACATGCAAAACAGTAGTATTAAGACAATGTATTAGAAAATACTGAAAACTGTAATAACCCAAAATTTGTAAGCGGAAACGTAAGAAGACAGTTGATCTTGCATTAATTATGTTTAGCTTAGAATTCAGTTTAATCTTTCTTAAAAAACAACAGAACAGTCATATTACCACATGGGAAGTATGTTTTAACACAGTTGGTTTTTCCTTAAGAGTTACTACACCCATAAAAGATTCACAAAGAGTAATATGGCTACCTCTTGGGCTATTTCCAAACAGTCTAATATAAACTGCTTGTTAGCCAACAAAAGTGCACATATTAAGTAAACCAAAGTTTCTTTGCCTTTGGCTGGAACTGTAACAACTGTAAGAAGGACAACTTCATTCTGAGATCAGAAGTTTGTTTTTTGTTTTTTTGAGATGGAGTCTCACTCAGGCTGGAGTACAGTAGTGCAATCTTGGCTCACTGCAACCTCCACCTCCTGGATTCAAGCGGTTCTCCCATCTCAGCCTCCCAAGTAGCTGGGATAACAGGCATACACCACCATGCCCAGCTAATTTTTGTATTTTTAGTAGAGACAGCATTTTGCCATGTTGGTCAGGCTGGTTTTGAACTCCTGGGCTCAGGTGATCTGCCCACCTTGGCCTCCCAAAGTACTGGGATTACAGTCCTGAGCCACTATGCCCAGCCCTGATTACAAGTTCTAATTGGCTCTTAATCAAAAATTTATTTCTGAGAGTCATCTTACAACAAAAGATTCCAGACAGTTAAAAAAAAAAAAAAGTCAGGGTGGGAGGAGGAACTACTGGTTTAAAACTCACCAGTATGTTCTTTATAGACACTAGAATCACCACAGCCAAAAGCAGGAAGTATGTTTTGTTTTGAAATGAAACATACCCTCAGTGCAGCCCACTTTCCGTTCCTGGCCCTTTGGATAATCCTCACAAAAAGCACTAAACATATTTACAGCAATGTGCGTAAGTGAGATCCGAGCTAATTTCAAATCTAGACAAAAAATCTGAGGCTAAGCTTTACATCACAACAACTTTTACAAGTCCATCCACGTATCAATAACATGGGCATTCTCAAAATCAAGCAACAACGAAGAAAGGCTATTATAACTGGAACGCCCTAGGGGCTCAGTTCCCTTAGCAGTGGCAAAGGAAAATGATCAGACCAAAGCTACAAAGACAGCAGAAGCATGATAACCAAACCTCAGGTCATTAAACCACAAAAGTCCAGCCTTAAAATAGGTTTCATGTCGTTAGCTCTATCCGGACAATATACCTGAAGATGTCACACCGGTGACCACAAAAGAGAAAAAAACATCAAATTTATCTTATTTAACTTTTTAACAGTTTTTTCATTTCAATAAATTTATTTTGGTTTGTTGAATTGTTTAAGAGGAAGAGAAGAATGTGTTCATGTTTTTCAACCTGTGGGTGAAAAGGAAAGCATATGATTTAATTTCTAAAAACATTAGGAGTTGAATTTCACTTAAAGGAAATTTTACCTACTTGCTTCTGTAACTCTGTGCAGCAGCAATTCATCCTATACATCTCTTCTAAAAGCAAATACAAAAAAAAAAGTCATTAGATTACATATAATGTAAAGAAGAAGAACTTGGGAGTCTAAACATATACAGATAGCTCTGACCCTTGTGCCTGGGTTCCAACTACAAAGACCTGGATGGATCCATTTGGGCTTTGAGATTATCTACTACCGTGGTCTGGATTTGACCATATTAACAACTATGTCTCCAAGGTTTAGGTTCTTTGTCTATCACATATGGAATTTCTCCTTTTGACTGAGGCCAGGTCTGTCAAATATATATCTTATCAAGTACCAGGAAGATGCAATCTCAAAAATAGGACTTCTCATTTTCAACAGGATCAAAAAGCAAATTGGAAATAGGGAACAGCAGAACACCTGGCATTTCCAAAGCTCTTGGTGTCAATCCCCCAGCAGTGTTGCCGAGTGCTGAGGACCATCTGGACTCAGAGGACTGCCTCTGTCAAGGCGTCCCTCCCAGGCAGCCACAGGAATGAGAGCCCTGCCACTGGATTTGTGGAGGAGAAGAGGAGAGTATGGCACAGGAGGTGAGGAAAGGTCAAGTCAACTAAATTGATTATTTGTTATTCCTCATACTTAACACCTGTTATTAGTAACACTTGAAAAGAATACCTTTATTTAAAGCACTCTGCCTTTGAGGTATGATGTTTTTTGCCAGTCCAAACGTCACCAGCTTATCAGCTACATCGACTGTCCCATTCTCGGAACATTTCTCCACTGACACCTCATGGACATTCTTAGTAATTCCTTTCACAGAAAGTATGACATTCTGATTCAACATGAAATTTTTAAATAGCATTATTATTAATTGAGAAGAGCTTCCATTCAATTCCATCAATCCTGGAAAAGATGGATATTACAGTCTTTTAGTTCCTTTTAAAAAGATAGTATTTAGATAAATTATGTAAGAATAACAAGCAAAAGGCTTACTGGATTCAGCTGGATTTCAGTATGCTTTGATGTACTACTGCTGTTGCATTACAAAAGGCAAATTTATTCGATACATATTATTGATCACCTAACAAGGCATCAAGCATTAATCTTGGACTAGAGGGCATGAAACAGACACGTGTCTCCTTCATATATTCCAACAGGAGAAACAAAAAACTAAGATACTTTTCCAACTGAGTCAAAACCAAAGAGGACCATAAGGCAATCAGTATGGTAGTATCTGCAAGTCCTTTGCATAAAGATATCAGAGTAACAGTAAAAAGCTACTTTATGTATTTTTGTTCCCTTTTTTCAAATTCCAACTGAGGAGTTGAATATATGCAGATTTATTATATATAATAAGGTAGCCAGAAATGGTGTTATCTGAATGCCCTAGTCCCTAAAGAGATGTGACAAAGCAGGAAGACCCCAACTGAGAGGTCAGACACCCTGCTTCACGGACACAAGATACCCTGGTTCACATCCTGGCCTGAACAAGGTGCAAAACTGAATCTCTGAACCCTGATCCTCTGAAACTAATCTATAAAACGAAGACTGATTGAGTACTGTTTTTGTGAGAATTCAATAAAAAATAAAGGATATAAAACTTAATGGAAAACTCTCTTAATTTTAAAAATATTTAGGCAGTTACTGGAAATACCATTTGATTGACTTAGAGCTATGAAACATATAGAGGAAAAAAAACCATGCACCTAAATTGGAAACTGACTTAGCGGTCTACCTTCAAGTGAACATCTGATAATTTGGAAAGGAAGCTCCAGGTGGCTAGAGGTGATTGGCTGCACTCTGCAAAGAGGCAGTGTTTCAATGTTTCCATAGTCTGCATAGAGCACCTTCACATCAGTGTCTGATGTCCCTAGAACAACTGCACGATACCAAAAATCATCACCTGAAAATATAATGGAATCTCAGTAAGAACTCAGTGACTCCTCCTACCTTAAGAGAGTTATTCATAGTTATTATATTTACATCACTTAAACATCCATACCAAAATTTCTGGTTACAATTAAAATTAAATAAAGCATTTACCTCTACACTCCCACTAAAAATGTAATTTTTTTTTTTTTTTTTTTTTTTTTTTTTTTTTTTTTTTTTTTTTTTTTTTTTTTTTTTTTTTTGAGACAGGGTCTGGCTCTGTAGCCCAGGCTGGAGTACAGTGACACAATCTTGGCTCACTGTAACCTCCGCCTCCCAAGCTTAAGCGATCTTCTCATCTCAGCTTCTGAGATGAGACTACCTGTAGCTGGACTACAGGTGTATACCACATGCCCAGCTAATTGTTTATTTTTGGTAGAGATAGGGTCTTGCCATGCTGTCCAGGCTGGTCTTGAACTCCTGAACTCAAGCTATGCTACGCCTCAGCCTCCCAAAGTGCTGGGATTACAGGCGTAAGACACCACGCCCAACCCTTAATAGGATTTTTTTTTTAATGCATAAAACCACAAGAATAGAGAACAAGAGAAAAGACAACAGAATACTGGAAGCTGGAAAGTAGATGCCTGAATGAAAATGATCTAGTAGAGCCATGGTAGCTCAATCACAGTTGGCAGTGGGGAAGCCAAAATGCATCCCAGCTTGCATCACAGATCCCCAACCCCTAAAGCCTTAACGATTGGTGTTACCATTCAAAAGTAGGAGTTAAGATGGAGTTGGAAAGGAAGATTGGCTAAGGAAGCAGTTACTTGCAAAGACATCTGAAAAGGCTTTAGCTCATAAACTCATTTACACGTAACACCTATTTTTAAAGTTACTAAAGAGAATGGTGAGCTTTATGTTCCCATGTTTTAATAATGCTTCTATTTGAGTAAAGAAGACTGGAGGTTTCCTCTCCTGAGAGGATGAACCACAGAGGCCATAGACTAGAGAACGTAAGGCAGAGCAGACCATGGACAGTTTAACACTGGCAGGCAAGCTGTACACTTCAGGCAGGAGGCAACCAGCCCCCACAATAGCCCATCAAGATGCTGACACTCGAAGTCCACAGTGAAATGGCACAACCACATCACCCACAGTGAAGGCCACCAGGACAAGCCCCTGCCCACTCTCAAAGTGACTTCCCAATAACTTCTCAGTGCCCCATCTTAAATACAGGAACAGCACAGGATCATCAGAGATTTGAAGAAAGCCTCTAACATCACAGAGGAGACCAAAACAAAATAGAACCTTAGGGAAGCCAAGGCGAAGGAGGAAGATGGCAATGAACATTAGAAGACTGACAATAATATCCTTGGAGAACTGACATTCCACCCTTGAAAGAAGAACAGGGTAGTATTAAAAAAGATGAAAGAGAGAAGAGGATGTTTAACAGAAGAGTTCAAATTCAGCATTAAAAGACTTAAAGCTCCGAAAACAAAAGGAAATAAAAGCATTAATTCAGGAAAGTTTCTCAAACTGAAGCTCATGAATTTCCAGATTTAAAGTGTCCACCCACTGAGTGCCCAGCACAATGGCAGAAAGAAAAACACCATACTAAGGTCTCATCATAAATTTCAAAACAGGTGAAGAGAATACTAACAGTTCCAGAAAGGGAGAAAAAATGTACGACGTTTGTGGAATCCGGAATAACATCAATCTTTTGACCAGAAACACCAACACCTAAAACACAAGGAAAGCAGTGCCTTCAAAATTGTAAGGGGAAGGTGATTTCCAATGGAATTCTGTATCCAGGCAACCTATCAATTAACTATTAGGATAAAGACTTTTTCAAATATGGGCGCTAACAGAAAATTTATCTTACATGCACCTTTTCTCAACTTCTGGAGGACAGGATCCGCCAAAACATGGGAGTAAATCAAAAGGGAAATCAGGGATCCAAAAAACACAGTGGGGCGAGGGAGGAAGCAATCTAGCTAACACACGGTGGGGCAGTCCCGGAAACCAGGGGGCAGTGCTGAAACAGTCCTCAGCATGGTGAGGAAAAACCCAGGCTAACAGCCCAGGTCTGGGGGACAAGCAGCCTGTACAGAAGCAGGTTGGAAGGCTGAAGATGCCGTCAATATGGTAAAAGTTGATAAAGTACATGTAGTGTTCTGGGGAGTTTGCACTAATATAGAGAACTGGAAATAAATAGTCAAAGTATATAGAACACTAACAACAAAGTGGCAAAAGAGAATGTAATTGTAATATACTACGCAGCTCAGCTATAGTGTTTATGCAGTCCTAATGAAGTAAAACAGAATACTTACTGAACCAAAAATTGTGATTTTTTCTGGGAAGAAAGGGAGAGAAAATGTAGATCCGGTTGTCATACAGAAGAAAAAACTAGTGACATCTGTAAGACCATGAAGTTTGAAGGTCCCCAACTTGTGTCCTTCAACAAAAGTACTTTGGTGTCCATCTAGCCACAAAAATGCTTTTTAAGAGGTTTGGGATCCAGACGGGGGATCTGAAACTCCACTGGAGCCCAAGATTGAAGAGGGCTCTTTCAGAAGGCAGGCCTATTCCCCAGTGGCAGACTTTTAAGACCTTGTTCTCAGCTGCTGACTGGAAGCAGCCCTGTCCCCAGGTGAACTCAGCTCTAGCCCCACTTGGCTGCCATCCTGCCACCAGCCACGACTGGCAGGAGCCATGCTTATCCATGCTCCCAGTCACAGGCCCACCAACTGGACCTGACTGCGGACCATGAAGCAGCCCTACAACCTGGCTCCACTCCCATTAACCTTGATCCCAGAGGTAAATCACAATATTTACTTCAAGTGTTATTTATGTTAGCTTAAGAAATTTGTTAAAATGAAATATTAAAATGGATAATGATCAACGTATACCCTCATCAATAAGCCTGGCTCCCTGAGGCATTTCATTCTTCTTTTAGTACATTCACATATAGAGCCCTATAAATTCTTTGCAACCCCTCCATAAATAAATGTAATGTGACTGATCCACTAGAATAGAATGTGGTTATCTCAAGCTGGTTATCTGTTAAGTACTGACAGACTTGTACAAATCTACCTATATTCTTGCCTAAAAATAATCCATATAGAATTGAAAAGCTGAGTAATATGAATTAAGTCCACAATACTGCCTTCCTTCTCTACCTAAACCAAACGAAACATGCAGCTAAAACATCAAAATCTACGTAGTATCATGTAAAAGAAAACAGACCCAATACCTTTCCTCAAATATTTTCCCTAAAAGAACCTGACCTGTGTATTTGGCACAGCATGCGTCTCCAATTCTTGGTCTATAGGGTGGTCGACTTTTCGGAGCATTGCAGTACTCTAATAATTCAGCTGTCAATAGGCAGAGCTTTTCCTGATTTTCTAAAACACATAAAAACAATCTTTTGTTAAGAAAATTTCCAATGTTACTATTGACAGTATACGAAAGAATGGCAAGTCTAATCAAAAAATCCTTTGCGTATTAAAATATGCATATTTAAAATATGTACATGTATATGCAATATACATTGTATTTAAAAATAAATATACCCACAACTAGTTGCCATTTGCAGAAGGGATGCAATCAATACTAGGCGGGAATAGGGAGTAAGCCTCTGGTGGGTTAATTTCTTGATCAGGGTGGTTATGCTAGTTTGTTTACTCTGTGAAAGCTTAATAAGCGGTATTTTTACAATTGTTTAGTGTACTTTTCAGTGAGTGTTATACTTAATAAACTTTTTCTCAATAATATTTCCAATTCATCATACCACATGTTGTCAGGGTAAAAAAACCCTAAGCTCCTGCTTTTTAATACACAGAATAAAGGTAATTTTGTAGTATTAGAGATAAAATTTAAGAGCAGTTATTGGCATTACCACAGTTCTAACTTTGACAATTTGAAACAAAGGTTCATTTTTTTCAGCCTTAAAAGTGTCTGCAAATTATTCTAAAAAGACTGCATTCAACTTGCACTAACTTTTATTCAGATACTACAAGAATAAAGTCATATACATTTAAGATATTCCTTAATTGTAAACTTTGATGAAACAAAAAAATGAAAATTAAACTTCCACATGCTACTTTTCTTCATGGTTGGTTCCAGTGTGAAACGCTTCTCTAAGCCTCTAAGATGTAGTAAAACTATGGTTATGGATGGATTACAAAGTCTTTCAATATATCTAAAACAGTAAATAAGATTCAATATAGATAATGTGTTTTTAAATAAGAAATTATACAGTAATTAAGGACCCTTTGTTATTAAAAAGGTATAGACTACCAAGACCAGGCTACTGGATAGGTAAGTGCTGACTGTAGTGGGGCTTCCCTTCATGTTCCCACTTTATTTTTTTTTGAGACAGAGTCTCACTCTGGTCTCCCAGGCTGGAGTGCAGTTGCATGATCTCTGCTCGCTGCAACCTCTGCCTCCTGAGTTTGAACAGTTCTCCTGCCTCAGCCTCCTGAGTAGCTGGGACTACACCCAGCTACTTTTTGTATTTTTTAGTAGAGACAAGGGTTTCACCATATTTGCCAGGATGTTCTCCAACTCCTGACCTTGTGATCTGCCCACTTCGGCCTCCCGAAAGTGCAGGCATGAGCCACCGCACCCGGCCCCCACTCATGTTTTATAACTAAATTTGCCTTAAGTGTTTTATCAGTTCTTCCTTAAAACAGTGAGCCTCTTTTCCCCTTCACTTCCTAAGGAATTCAAGACCAGCACTTTCATTTTACAGTTTAAAAGATGCGTGTAAGAATGTCTCGAATTTTGGTTTCTTACCTGGCATCCCGTTTGGTAGAGCATAAAACAAGTTTGGGCTTATGATTTCTAATACATTTGCTTGTACAGTTTCACTAACCGGCAATTCTATTGTCTTCCATTGATCAGCTGAAGATGTAGCTGAAAACATGTAAAACACAGGTCTCACATGGAATAAAAAAAATTTACTGTTGTTTTCCTCAATAACATATTTAATTCAATCATTTGTTCATCAACTGATTATCAACGTTTGCAAATTCCCAAAATAAAAATCTGTATTTTCACAGAACAATCTATTCAATTTGAGGGATTTTGTGGGCAGTGCAAATAAGTTGACTAGGATGAGAATCCTTGAACTGTTACACTCCTGTAGTATATTTCTGTATTATATTTCTATCTCTCTCAAATATTTAATATAATTCTTACAATTTACTCAATCTTTAAGGGAGATATATCTGTATAATACATGTTTATCTGATAATTAAAATGAGTGTATTTGTTCAATAAAATAACGTTTCAATACATACATTAACCTATTAATCTATGTCCATAGAGCATACTACAGGAAAACCGTCATTTATGATGAAAAAATTTTCATAGTCTCTGAGAGCAAGGAATAACAAATTTAAACAAATAAATGGTTTTAAAATGTTACCTTGAAGTCCCTGTGCATGAACTTGAAGCTCATGTTTATTAACAAGTCTGTCATTTGGTAAGTCTTTACGTGGTAAAACAGATTGTAAAGCCAGATGTTCGTCAATCAGAACATCACTGATTATTAAGGGATAGGAAGTGGAAAGATCAGTGAGTTCAATTCCTGTGCCATTTTCAGTGACTTCAACCACTCTGGCTTGCAATTTTACCCCAGTAACACATATCTGAAATCTTGCTATGGTTTCTTTAGACCAATGCTTGTTTTTAGGCTGTGTATCTGGAAAATAAAGACAGCAGTAAAAAGAATCCTACGTACAAGCTTCATTTTTGCTTTAATAATACCCAGGGACCAGGTCTTCGCCAAGTGTACTTTTCAGGTCAGCAATCCTGAATATCTTCAATATCCTCCATGCCTGACTCACAGATAATGCATTTGCTAATACACGCTAGGATATTAGGAGGCTCAGGATCTCTCCTTACTTTCCCTGATAACATTATCTTTACCTGGCATTTTCCAATATGAAAAAATAAGGGTACTGTTTGTTTTAGGATTTGTTATGTATACAATCATGAGTTAACCATTATGCTGGTAAAAGACGTCAGCTGATGCACTTCTACTTTTGTGGACGGACAGTTTTCTAATAATTTCAAAATGTTTTTCATTATGTAAGCAAAAATTATTTTTCTTGGATAATTTTGGCTTACACCCTTGTTTTCTTTGCAGTGATTTTTCAAACTTGAACATGTATCTTAACCACCTAGAGGCCTTGTTAAAACACTGACTGTGGGGCCCTACCCAGAGTTTCTAATTTTGGCAGGTCTGGGATGGAAGCCAAGGATCTGGAGTTTTTAACAAGTTGCAATGTTGATGTTGCTGGATTGGGGGCCGTATTTTAAGCAGCACTGGAATAAAACACAGTAATTAAAAACAATAACCTGGGCTGGGCACAGTGGCTTATGCCTGTAATCCCAGCATTTTGGGAGGCCAACGTGGCAGATCACCTGAGGTCAGGAGTTCCAAGACCAGCCCAATCAACATTGAGAAATCCCATCTCTACTAAAAATACAACAAAATTTAGGCAGGTGTGGTGGCACATGCCTGTAATCCCAGCTACTTGGGAGGCTGAGGTAGAAGAATTTCTTGAACCCAAGAGGCAGAGGTTGCAGTGAGACAAGACCATGCCATTGCACTCCAGCCTGAGCAACAAGAGCAAAACTCCATCTCAAAAAGAAAAACCAAAAAGAACAATAATCTGAAACTTATTGTAAAATAAATAGAAAACAGATTAGCAGAAGAAGTAAATGTGTCTATGCTGCCTGACTTGACCACTGTTAACATTTTGGAGTCCAACCATCCACAATTTTTATGTGCAGATGTCAAAAGATACACACATGCACATATATACACATTCTCTTATAAAGTGTTAATAATAATAACCACTACTACAGGTATAATGCCAAGCACTGTTAATGCTTTGTATTTTTCTTTTATTAACAACTCTGAAGAAGGTAGTACATTTGTAATAATTTCCAGATGAGGAAACAGAAGCACCGAAAGTTTAAATAATTCCCCTAAACGTCTCATAGAAAGCAAGCAGCAGAGATGGCTCTGGAGTCTGTTGTCTTCATTACGACACTCTTTTATAACCTGCTTTCTTCACTTAAATCCTGAACAATTCTTCCTATTAGTAACACACACTTAACATCCTCTTAATGACTGTGCAATAAATAGTTAAACATGCAGAACTTTCTGAGTGTCAGACCCTGCCCTAAACCTTCACTTAATCCTAACAACCCTACGAAATAATTGCTATCATTATCCATTAAATAAATCATTTACCCAATCTGCTATTATTGACTGTTATTTTGCCATTATTAACAGCAATGTAGTAATTATTTTTATAACCTACTCTGTGCAATTCCCAGATTTCTCTGGGATAAATTACTAGGAGCAAAACTACTAAGTCAGAAGGTATGAACACTTGAGGTTCCTGAGGAATCCTGTCAATGCCGTCCAGAGGATCGTGCAGTTTCTACTCCCACGGTCAGTAAAGCAGCCGTTTCCCTACTCTGACAACAACACTGGACATTCTGCCCAATGTTGTAAATAAATTTCTAAGTTTCATAATATGAAGTAGGATCTTCCAACCCACGCAAAAAGTTAAAATTGTAGATACTAATACTCAGAAAATTATATGCCCCAAATATTAGAAAGTAGTTGAGCAAGTTTCTTATTGTATACCATACCTGCTAACCAGCACCGTATCCCCTGAAAGGGAAGGTTTAAAAATGATGATGGTATCATTCGGAGCTCATCTGTAGTAACTTCTTCGATGTTTCCATAATCCACAAAATGTACTTTAACATTTCCATTTGGTAAGATTTGCTTGACTAAAGCACGATACCAATTACCATCACCTAGGTTTAACACAGAGTTAGTGACATGCAACATTTCCTTTCTATCGACACTTGAAATACTTATTTTGAAAAAAAGCCACGCTTTATCTAAAAGTAGGTAATCAATTTGCTTACTTCCCCAAATCATGCCTTTCATTTTTTCAAAATTCAAAAAATCTCTAGAAATCTATTTTAAGACTATCTCCAAAATTTGTAGTACCATACTTTTAAAGATTTTAAATTAAAAGATTTCATTGATAACCTATTCAATTAACAGAGTGTAAAGGTGCAGGTAAGACTTGAATATACTTGTCAGTTTTGGACATGTATAATACTCTTACCACCAACAGCTCAGATTATTTTACTTGTTATGTGGTAAAAAATAATATATTTTACTTGTTATGTGGTAAAAAAAAAAATAATATAAGCAGTGGCAGGGCGTGGTGGCTCACACCTGTAATCCCAGCACTTTGGGAGGCTGAGGTGAGTGGATCGTGAGTTCAGGAGATCGAAACCACCCTGGCTAACATGGTGAAACCCCATCTCTACTAAAAATACAAAAAGTTAGCTGGGTGTGGTGGCATGCACCTGTAGTCCCAGCTACTTGGCAGGGTGGGGCAGGAGAATCACTTCAACCCAGGAGGTGGAGGCTGCAGTAAGCCAAGATCATGCCACTGCACACCAGCCTGGGTGACAAAGCAAGACTCCATCTCAATAATAACAACAATAATTAGTAGTAGTAGTAAAGGGTAGAGACATTCTTGTAATAAAGATGATTCATCAAATACATTTTCAAAATACTGTAAACACTTATAGAACGACCAGAATAATGAACCTGCCGTGAACAGCTCTTCCATGAGCAAACTTATTTTAATATTATCAGAAATTCTGGAAATAAAAGCATTAAAATAATGTTTAATAAAATTTAGGCAACAAAGCATCACTTGGAGGTTCCTTGTTACAAAGAGAGAAGGAAAAACACATGACATCGTAAGTATTCATTTAGTCTTGGCCATGAAAAATATTTGCTTAAACGTTAAGAATACGTACACTAAAAATAAGGGTTGAATGTTAAGAAATTAAGATTCTAAAAGTCAAGATTACACCAACTGGAACTTACCTGCAAAAAAAGCACAACAAGGTTGTCCTGCCTCTGCCTTGAAAACATTAGGTAACTTCTGCTGGCAATGTTCTGCTAATGACTTGTTCAAATCATTCAGTTTCTTTAAAGCTGAAGATAAAATACATGTAGCACTTAATATTAGAAGATACAGAACATAAATTTTCCTTTAAAGTCAGAAAATGTTTTGATCATAAAAATCCCAGGGAGGGGAGGGTGGGGAGGGATAACATGGGGAGAAATGCCAGATATAGTATGCACCTAAAGTAAAATAAATCCATTTTTTAAAAATTTAAAAATTAAAAAATTTTTTTAAAAAATCCCAGGTACCTCCCCAAACTATTTTTTACCCCAATGCTTTTCCTTATTAAAAAATTGGGCAAATAAGTTGTTACTTAGTTAATAGTCTCAATAAACCCAACATTAATGATTTACGAGGCACAAAGACATAATTACCGCATGATTATCAATACACTAAAGCAGGAACTTTGCAGGCAGACAAAACATCCCAGCCATAGACAAACTAAATAAAACCTGTCCCGAAAGCGACTATAATCCCTAAATGGATGGCACAGATAATGTATGCTAAGAAGTCAGAGCTGATGAGCTCTGTATGCTGGAGGTTTCATAAATTCAAAGTACACCACATTTGAAGGGGAGGGTATTTCCAGAAGGATGACGTGGCTCTGAGACAAAGGACAGAATTATGAAATTAGGCTGCCAAAAGTGGGCAGCAGGCTAGCAAAGCAGACAAGTGGACAGGCGGCCTCTGGAGAGAGACATCAGAGGTGTCCCTGCAAAATGCGGACCATGGAGAGCTTCTGCACGCAGAAGAAAGGGATCTGAACCACTCAGTAGTATCAAGTGTGTGACAAAGGCTCACTTACCGAAATGGAAAATAAATTGTAACGTGTCAGATGTTTCACCTTTCAGGTTAGCCTAAATAAAGTTTAAGGGCACATGATAGGCAATGATACACTCTGCTGCTGGGGGATTGTTTGGCTGGCCTCTAAGAAGACTAGCTCTCAAAAGCACAAACACACACATTCCTTTGACCTAATACTCCAATAACAATTTTAGCAACTTGCCCCAGGGATATACTCCTAATGTAAAAATCACAGTACAAGGATTTGTTTTAGTAATAAAAGTTTGTAAATCACTAATTCTGTATTTATCCACAATTAGGTTAATTAAATTAGGATTAACCCACAGAGTGGAATACCATGTAGCCAAGAAAAAGAACTGAATGGAGACTAAACACCAAGGTGGCGTCACAGAGTAGCTCCTGGAACAGAAAAAGGACATTAGTGGAAAAGCTAACGAAAACCAAATAAAGTTTGGCGTTCGGTTACTAGTAATATACCACTGTTGGTCTCTTTGTTGCAACAAATGTGCCAAGATCACATGCTAACTACAGGAGAAGCTGGATGAGGGGGATATGGGAACTCTATGTATCATCTCTGCAAGTTTCTGTAAACCTAAAATTATTCCGAAATAGAAATTGTTATTTAAAAAGAGACTGGAGAAAACACTATGTGAATTGATATCCAAAACGCAGTGGAATAAAAAATTCAAAAATTACTTACCACTTTATACCATTTACAGATACATAAAAGGTATATACTCATACAAGCATATGTATAGAGTGTCTCTGAAAAAACATTTAGTGAGAAGAGGAACCAGGAAACTTACTTTCCACTATGCACATTTTTGTAACTTTTGAATTTTGTAACTTTTGAAACATGTTTTCATGTTTCCTTCTTCATGTTTAGAATTTTTAGATGTTTGTATAATAATCACCTATATCAATAAAAAGGAACTTGAAAATTGTAAATTTTAACCTAGATGCAATGGTGGCCTACCTACCAAATTATTCTGAACGAAGGAATGACAAATCTCCCAACTATGGGGTCTGACAGAGCCTTAGTTATCTAGGTAAATGTCCTTATTTGACGAAGAAAAACCAAGATTTGCAAAGTCAAGATCAATGATGCTCACCAGAATGGCTCGAATGAAAAAGAAAACACAATGCCTGTGAGGTTGTGGAGCAACCATCTGTTCCTTAATCACTTCAGAAACTGGCCTTTGCAGATGGGGAAGCTGCAAATTTACATACCCTTTATGACCCAACAATTTCATTCCTAGGTATGGACTCCATGAAAATGCCTGCACATGTACACCAGATGTGCTGTAATGTTCACAGCAACATTAATCTACAGCCCAAGCGAAACAAGCCAAACGTCCAATGGTAGAAGGAAACAAACTGCAATACAATTCATAGGATGCAACACTATGCAGCAAAGAAAAACAACATAACAGACACACGTAACACACAATGAAGGCTATGTAGCAAGGAAAAGCAAGGTAAGATAGATGCAACAATGCCACAGTGGAGTGGGCAGCAGGAAGGAAGGGGCTCACATAGTGTGTAATCCCATTTCTATAAAGTTCAAAACCTGGAAGAACTAATCTGTGCTATTGGAAAGCAGAAATGTTTATTTTTGAAAGAGAGAAGAGGTAATGATGGGAGGGGACAGGAGGGAAACTTCTGGAATACCGGTAATGTTTTATATTGCTTGACTTAGAGGCTGGTTATACAAGTGTGTGCAGTTTGTGATAATTCATTATGTTGTACTTCTATTTACATATGTATCTATATGTTAATACTTCAATAAAAGTTAAATTTAATTTCTTTTTTTTTGTTGTTGTTTTCTAGAGACAGGGTGTAGCTCTGCTGCCCAGGCTGGAGTGCACTGGCATGATCAAAGCTCACTGCACCCTTGAGTTCCTGGGCTCCTCATCCTCTTGCCTCAGCATCCCAAAGTGTTGGGATTATAGGTGTAAGCCGCTATACCAGGCCAAATTTAATTTCTATAAATGAATTTAGGAGATATTTTATGAAATATAAACTGGTTTAAATATAAACAGGTATTGCTGAAAATATAAATAATCACTCAAAACAGAATAAAAGCTAACTAAGTACAACCAAATCTTCTTGGAAATACAAATACCTACTTGGTTCTTCTTGGAAAGAGGTACTTTTATCACTCAGTAACCAACTCACGTGAAGTTACTATCTATGCCAATGTATTTGTAAAAAGAAACAAATAACAAAAATCAACTTACCATCCTCTTTAAGCACGTGGCAATAAAATTCTCCAGGACTATATATTACACAGACCACAACATCTACTGTTTGGTCAACAGCAAGTTCAACCCACGTCCACTCCAATGGATTTATTTTTCCTTCCACACCCAAGGAAACTGTGAAAATAATTAAATATTTTGCAAAATAAATGGACATAGTGGAGGGAGGATGCGCGAGGCTGGGGCTGCTGAGGAATCTGCTTTAGAAGAATTGAATTTCCACTGACTTTTTAAGTGACTTTATAGGAATATTAACCTTAAAGTCAGTCTTATAATTATCTAAGTAAACTTCAAATTTATATTTCTGATCAGCTGCCAGCAACCTGTAAAACTCTCCATAAAATTTTATTTTTCAAACATTCTTAAAATATTTAGATGAATGCTTTATTTAAGATGAAAGGCATTCAACATAAATTCTTTTTTTAAGTACAGGAAACTTGTATTTATAGAACCATCTGAACTCCAGAACATGCATTATCTAGTAAACATTTTACTTACCACTGGCTTCTTTCATGTCACTGGGTTTATCTGCCACCATCCCCTGTTCTCCCACGGCAAAGGCTGCATCTATGAGAACTTTGCTAATGCTGACATGAGGCGTTTTGGATTTATCGATAAGCTCCACTAGGGAACTGTTTTCCAACTTGTCCACCACTTTCACTGTGATTATTTTGTTCTGCACAAGTTTTTTCATGAGACAAATAGCTTCGGGAGTCCAAATTCCTAATGATGGCTTTACTCCTAACAAAGAATTTTGAATGAATGTTAAAATTATTTTAAAGCATTTAGAAATGTAGCTCCTAATTTCCCCAAGTTAAACTTAAGAAACCTATGGCAAACACTGAAGCAAAAACATCTCACTTAAGAACATAAAGATGAATGCATCATTAACAAAGAAAAAGCCTGCTGGTTGCAGTGGCTCACTCATGTTGGGCACAATGGCTCATTCCAGCACTCTGGGAGGCTGACGCAGGAGGTTTGAGACCAGCCAGGGCAACATGGCCAGACTCACATCTCTACAAACAACAAAAGAAAAAGCTTGTAAAAAGCTTCTATAATATGTAAAACAAAACCCACATAATTTCACTGACATAAAACGTCCAGAAGTACAAATCTACAGAGCCAGAAAGTAGATTGTTTACTACCTGGGGAGAAAAGACTAACCACAAATAGGCACAAGAGACCATCCTGGGGTGATGGAAATGTTCTAAATCAGACTATGGTGATGTTTGTATAACTTAGTAAATTTATTGAGAATTACTGAATTGTATAGCTAACACCTAAAGTGAACATTATGGCAAGTAAATTATAGCCCAATAAAATTAAAAAGCCATACACAAAAAGTATAAAACAATCCCTGAACAAATACTCGTCCCTTGGGTTAACATATGAAACATCGGTGGCACTTACAACTCAATACTGACAGGGCACTTAAAATCAGCAATCCCAAGTTATGCTTCAATCAGTTCATTAAATGCAAGGGCCAAGTAACATAAAAAAAATGTTTCGCCTCACTGGTAATTAGGCAAATTAAAGTGATTTCATTTTTACCCTATCAAAATTGGCCAGGATGAAATAACATAGAAGCATCCTTCTGATGCACCAATGTGTACAAGAATGGATTCTCTCAGAATTCTTTTGGTGGGCATGTAAACTAGGTCAACCCTTTCTGGAAGACAATGCACAATATGTATCACAAACATGAAAAGAAGGAGACTTACTGACCCATTCCACCCATGGGAATGTAGCCTAAGGAAGTCTTTTGGGATATAACTACATTTTGTAACATTGCCTAAGGAAAAGATCTGGTATAAGCTGCAAATGTAATTATAAGAATCTTGCTTCGAGCAAATACTTTGAAATACCCTCTGAGATAGGAAACTCCTTATAAATTATGGTACATTTTGATGAAGCCAACTGATGGATGTGGAAAGAAATCTCTGATCCTAGTGGGATAGATGACATGTATAGAAACTTTTAAGCATTTGATCATGTCGTTTTGAGAAGCAGCTTTTCCCTATTTCATGTATCTTTTCACGTTTTCAAGTTTCCTTCTTCACCTTTAGAATTTTTAAAGAATATGGAGGCTATGAAAATTCCATACCTGCTAGCACACACTTTATAGCTTGCATTGGCAGTTCCAACAACTTTGGGATTATGGGGCAAAGTCTCATCAAACTAAGGATTTCAAAGTTTCCATAATCTACATATCCGACCAGTACCGATTCTTCAGAAGCGTAAGCCAAAACGGAGGCACGGTACCACTGATCATCCTCTGAAAAAAAGGAGACACTCAATCTCAAATGATTTTTCCACTGTAGAGATAAACAAAAACCTTTCCTCCTCAAATTAGAGATGGTCATTTATAGATTTTTCTTTAATAGATATGAAGTTTATACAACAGTATGTTTACTAATTTTGCTTATCAGAAGCCTTCAACTCCTAAAATGTAACCTTTATTAGTAGTGTACTACATTAATTATGCCATACGCTGTCATTATTAGTTTACATGCCTTATCTCTCCAGTAGAGTTAGCTCATTAGGACAGAGAATACATACTGATCATGTGAATCACAAGGTCTCAATCAGTACATGAAGTATTTACTAGCAAGACTAGTTATAAAACACCTGGCAAGCATGAATCAACTAGACTACAACCAACCAACTGATCAATTTACTGAAGGATTACTGCATCTCCCCTTCCATGAGGCCCATGGACCTCTCTTTGGCAGAGAATAACATAACCTGGTTATCCTAAGGCAGGACTTGTGCCATACAAAGGCTGCACCATGACAGTGCCACACTTCCAGGCCCTCTTGCTGTTTCAATAAAACCAGTGAAGATATGATCCTGGGAGTTTGCATATCGACCTATTAGCTTAAACAGAATTATCTTTACCAGTCTCTAAAATCCAAAAAGCTGACAAAATAACCCAGAATACCTCCTTTATACCTCCATCTCCTTGACACACACAGGCCCCTCTGCCCTTACCCAGATCAGACCACACTCCTTCCAACCAGTTAAATTTGATCTATTTAAAAACATGATTGGTTGACTCTAATACTCAAGCTTCAAATCCAGTCATCAGTGCAAACCAAAGACTATGTTTCAACAGTTTTTATTCAATTGTAAGTTAAAAACTAATAATAAATTTTAAAAATCAGTAATACTCTTTCCTTACCTGAGAACTGAGCACAACATATATCACCAATGGCTGGATAAAAATCAGAGCGTGGAGATAACCGACCACAGTATTCACTAAGGGACGCCTGAAGTTCAGCAAGCTTACCTGCAGATAAAGATCACATCTTAAAGAAATATGTATATATACATTATTTCTACATGTCGAGCCTCTTGAAGTACTGTAGCTTGACAGCAAATCAAGAGAACTGACTTACGGCCACTTTGCAGTTGTTGACAAAAGAAGTCTTCTGGTGTTTGAATGTGGGCCACCACACCACAAAACTCATCACCAATATTCAAAGTTAACACTTTCGGGATTAGGTCACTTTTGTCTACAACAATTTTGTTTTCAGCTGTCATTTTTCCAGCATCTTCAGGATCACCTTATCAGAAGAAAACAGAAAAGTAAGCCATTTTGTTTTCATCCAAAGTTAAAAAAAAAAATACATATATGTGTATATATGCATGCTTTAATCATTTGAACAAGAGTATTGACTATGACTGCAAGATTCCTGGAAGATGGCAGTCTGAGAGCTCATGCGTGTTTCTTCTTTCCAATAATAAATGTTTATAATAAAGGCAGTTTTCGATGTCACCAAAAGCTAGAGTGTCCCAAGAAAATCAGTGACTTAGAAAAGACAAGTTCAGATCTAATTAAAACGTTCTATAACAGACTCCTTATAGTCCCTAAAAGAGTTCAAGAAAATGTAATTTGGAATAGATATCCTCTCATTATACTGAAGTAGAAACATATAAGATTAGGACCTACTTACTCGACAGTGAAATGATAAATCCCACAGGGAACAATTAGGATGAAATAATTATAAATTTAAAACGTATTCAATAGTTCAAAAAAGATACAAGCAATCTAAGTAATAACTCAAGAGAAAAGTAAGTAGAGCCAACCTAAGAGTCTAAGAAAGAAAGCCTTCAAAAGCACAATGAAAAATAACTCAGGAAACTCACAGAAATGAAAAAAGCATATACAGTCTATACAATTCCAACTACTCAAGGAATATATTTTTAGCATCAAGATACTTAGCAACATCGTGACAATGTATCAGAATCCTGGAAGACAACGAAAAACTACTACTGCTTTAAGGAACTAAGGGATAAGATACCATTCACTGTAATCCCAGCACTTTGGGAGGCCGAGGCGGGTGGATCACGAGGTCAAGAGAACAGAGGTCTCGGAGGCAACACAACATATCTACAACCACCTGATCTTTGACAAACCAGACAAAAACAAGCAATGGGGAAAGGATTCCCTGTTCAATAAATGGTGTTGGGAAAGCTGGCTAGCCATGTGCAGAAAGCAGAAACTGGACCCCTTCCTGACACCTTACACTAAAATTAACTCCAGATGGATTAAAGACTTAAACATAAGACCTAACACCATAAAAACCCTAGAAGAAAATCTAGGCAAAACCATTCAGGACGTAGGTGTAGGCAAGGACTTCATGACCAAAACACCAAAAGCATTGACAACAAAAGCCAAAATAGACAAATGGGACCTAATCAAATTCCCCAGATTCTGCACAGCAAAAGAAACAATCATTAGAGTGAATCGGCAACCAACAGATTGGGAAAAAATTTTTGCAGTTTACCCATCTGACAAAGGGCTGATATCCAAAATTTATAAAGAACTAAAACAGATTTACAAGGAAAAAACTAACAAGCCCATTCAAAAGTGGGCAAAGGATATGAACAGATGCTTTACAGAAGAAGACATACGTGAGGCCAACAAACATATGAAAAAATGCTTATCATCACTGGTCATCAGAGAAATGCAAATCAAAACTACATTGAGATACCATCTCACGCCAGTTAGAATGGCGATCATTAAAAAATCTGGAGACAGCAGATGCTGGCGAGGATGTGGAGAAATAGGAACACTTTTACACTGTTGGTGGGAGTGTAAATTAGTTCAACCATTGTGGAAGACAGTGTGGCGATTCCTCAAGGACACAGAAATAGAAATTCCATTTGACCCAGCAATCCCATTACTGGGTATATATCCAAAGGATTACAAATCGTTCTACTATAAGGACACGTGCACACGAATGTTCATTGCAGCACTGTTTACAATAGCAAAGACCTGGAACCAACCCAAATGCCCATCGACAATAGACTGGATAGGGAAAATGTGGCACATATACACCATGGAATACTATGCAGCCATCAAAAACGATGAGTTTGGGTCCTTTGTAGGGACATGGATGAACTTGGAAACCATCATTCTCAGCAAACTGACAGAAGAGCAGAAGATCAAACACCGCATGTTCTCACTCATAGGCGGGTGTTGAACAATGAGAACACATGGACACAGGGAGGGGAGTACTACACACTGGGGTCAGTTCGGGGGAAATAGGGGAGGGACGGTGGGGGGTGGGAAGCTGGGGAGAGATAGCAAGGGGAGAAATGCCAGATGTAGGTGATGGGGAGGAAGGCAGCAAATCACACTGCCATGTGTGTTCCTATGCAACAATTTTGCATGTTCTTCACATGTACCCCAAAACCTAAAATGCAATAAAATAAATAAATGGGGAAAAAAAAAAAAAGAGATCGAGACCATCCTGGTCAACATGGTGAAACCCCATCTCTACTAAAAATACAAAACATTAGCTGGGCATGGTGGTGCGTGCCTGTAATCCCAGCTACTCAGGAGGCTGAGGCAGGAGAATTGCCTGAACCCAGGAGGCGGAGGTTGCGGTGAGCCGAGATCACGCCATTGCACTCCAGCCTGGGTAACATGAGTGAAACTCCGTCTCAAAAAAAGATATCATTCACATAAAACTAAGGCTGACTTCATTGTTTTAATCACAGAAATATGAGAAAATAATTATCTATATTATAGACTTATTAAAGGAAATGGTTCTCGCCATTGAAGACCAAGGGGTAACTGGGATAGACCACAAAAAGTGGAGGGAATTTGCTATCTAGGAGTGACCTCTCAGAATGTAGTATAATGGATTCCTGAAGTTATGTTAGAAATCCCATTGAAATGGGTAACTGGCTCATAACAGTAGCCCAGGTAAATTTAATGATCTCAAGTGTAAAAGGTAAGAGACAGGCTCAAATTAAAAATCATTTCTTTAAAATGTTCTCCCCCCCACCCAACAAAATCACAACATAAATAAGGGAAAAAGGAAGAGAAAAACTTAACAGCAAGGACAAGGAACCACTGTCCTGCTGTTTCACAGCACAGGATGCATAATGGTGGAAAGAGCACTAAACAGGAGTAACAGGACCTGGATTCCGGTTCTACATCTCCAGGCTTAAGGTGACCCACTGGACCAGTCAGCTACTGTTTCTCCACGTGTACAAAGGTGGTATGGGAGATCTGGATGGTTCCTTTCAGCTGCATGAGTCTGTCATGAGATCCTCCATGAGTTACTGTTTTTTTTTTTTTTTTAAGAGACAGGGCCTTGCTGTGTTGCCCAGGCTAGAGTGCAGTGGCTACTCACAAGTGCAGTCATGGCACACTGGGGGCCTCAAACTCCTGGTCTCCAACCCATCCTCCCACTTCAGCCTCCTCAGTAGTTCAGACTAGAGAAGCAAGCCACCACGCCAACTTTTAAAAATTTTATTTGGCTGCGTGGTGGCTCACACCTGTAATCCCAGAACTTTGGGAGGCCAAGGCAAGCAGATCCTAAGATCAGGGGATCAAGACCATCCCGGCCAACATGGTGAAACCCATCTCAAATAAAAATACAAAAAAATTAGCTGGGCGTGGTGGCAATGCCTGCAGACCCAGCTACTCAGAAGCCAAGGCAGGAGAACCACTTGAACCCGGGAGGAGGAGGTTGCAGTGAGCTGAGATCAGGCCACTGCACTCCAGCCTGGAGACAGAGCAAGATGCCATCTCAAAAAAAAAAAAAAAAATTATCTTAAACATCTTATGTAGGTCATATGTCATACTAAGCAATGGGGAGAAGTAGTTAAGTAAAAGGCCACAGTCTTTGCATCTAGATATTCTAAATCTTGTAGGAGACAGAAGATTTCAATCAGGAGCTAGAATGTGATAAATTTCACAAGAGGTTGCACAATCATAATGCAGGCTGAGTGGAGCTGGGTTTAGCAACACTGTAGGAGGAGGGGACAAAAGCCCAGTCATGTCGCTGGCTCGGCGTGCTGATAGTAGAGACCAAGTTGTAAAGGCTTTCGGCCAGGCTAAGTTAAAAACAGGTAGGACAGGAGGACAGATTTAATTCTGCCACAGAGGCACAGCTAAATTCTTAAGAAGATGGTTTAAAGGGAAGTCTCAGCAATATCCCTTATCTCATCTTTTCTAAATTCCAAATCTGATTCTCACATACCCACAAACATGACTTGAATCCAGCAAGCTGAATCCAGAGGTGTCTCAAGCCTCCATTCCCTATGTTGGCTTCAGAACCATGTCCAACTGCCCCCTTACCACAGCTCCTGGGACCTTTAATGATCTGCTCTAGCTTACCTCCTGACCTATACCTCCCCATCCTACACCTCTTCACCACCTGTCAAATCCAGCCCTACTTATTTTTCAGTTTCTCAGGCCTGGCCATGCTTTTAACACGTGTTCCTTTTCTTGCCACAAACTCCTCACCCCCAGCAGCTGGTTATTTCCTGTTCCGTGTGGCATCGCTTCTAGATGGCTTCATAGCAAGTGTTAGGTACCTTCCCACCTGCTTCCATTGCACCCTGCACTTTCTCTATTACACCTGATTTCTCTATCCTACATAATTTCTTCTGCTTCTCTGTATTGGATGAAGGCACCTTCATAGTGCCTTAGTGCAGAAGATACTGCTCAGTGGTTTTCTTGTACCTTCCATCGGATACCTTCATAGCATCTGATATTACTGATGACTCCCAGTCCTGGAAGCGTTTACCCTCTGCTGCTCTGGCAAGGTTTTTCCCATTCTGTTCCCACCTTTCCCAACACAGCTCCTCACTACAAATTGCAGGCCCCAGCTTCATCCTCCTCATTATTCTTCCTCATTCTGTTGCTCCAGCAACTTATGGTTTCAACCATGACTACCACTAAACCACTGTTTGGTTTCCTCCTCCAAATGACAAAGAACTGAAAGCTTTTCACCAGAGCTGTCCCACCAAAATTTGTGTCTCAGACATATCACATAGGCAAATCAGACAGGGAGATAAACTGACATCAGAAAATTGTTTCGACTGTCCATGAATGATGATTGTGCAGCTTAGAAAACGGTAGTAGGGAAAGAAAGAAAAAAGGCATATACAAAGGATACTTGGGAAGAAGAATCAATAAAGACATGGCAACCAATCAGATAGGCAAACAGATGGGAGGTAAGAAGTAGTCAGATTTAAGGATGAGTCAAGTGTGCTTATGTGACAGAATGTGTCCAACCATGGCACTGTCAATCTAGCAATCACCTCTGGATGAATCAGCAAGAGACAATGAATTGTATCTACTCCTAAAGCAATAGGTACAGAAGCAAAGCAAAGGATCAAGAAGACAATACAAACACAGGTGAGTAGGCAATTAAGAAATACAATACTGAAAGCAAAATTTCTTGGTTCTCTTGTTAATCTACATCAACCATATACAAGAGTTTTTAAGGAAGTGAAAACCGTAAGAAACACTGTCCTACTAGAACAGAATTTTATAGCCCTATTAATTACTGGTAGAATAACCAAGAACGAAGAAAAACAAACTAAAAAAATTTGAGCTAGTAAGCCCTAATTTGGTTGGCCATGGTGGCTCATGCCTATAATCCCAGCACTTTCGGAGGCCGCGGTGGGTGAATCACCTGAGGTCAGCAGTTCAAAACCAGCCTGGTCAGCATGGTGAAACCCTGTCTCTACTAAAAACACAAAAAATTAGCTGGGCGTGGTGGCAGGCAGCTGTAATCCCAGCTCCTCTGGAGGCTGAGACAGGAGAATTGCTTGAACCAGGAGGTGGAGGTTGCAGTGAGCTGAGACTGTGCCATTGCACTCCAGCTCGGGTGACAGAGGGAGACCCTGTCTCAAAAAAAGAAAAAAAAAATCAAAGAAAAAAAAAAAAGCCCTAACTCTAAAGTGTTATGATAATTAATACTTCATAATCTCTCATTACCATGTTAAGGATTCGTGTGGAAAACGGACAGAAGAGGAGAACATGCAGGAAAGACTGAAATTAGAAATGATATACTACTAAATACAAAATAGCATATTTAAATCATCCATAGAATGTTTATCATTAACAAGTCTTAGCAGTGCTAAAGTTGTGCCTTTGTTTAGTAGGTAGATGCTCTTCAATAACTGAAGTCACTATACCGCTCAGTATCAATCTATACTCACTTTGATCTGCACTTTCCTTCTTAGAATCTTGTCCATTGGGTTTCAAGCCATATCCCATTTCTATAAGCACATGGTCTAAAAGTTTTCCTAAAAAGTGATTAAGAAAATATACCTCTGTTGAGAAATTATACAAAGCATTATGCAAAAAGCATAAAGAAGAAACAGGTCAATCATACAACCCATATTTATAGCTATTAATAGGCTGACATGTTTTGTCAATTCAATTCTAGGGGCAAGCTATAGTTAACACCTAACTTAAACTGAGACAAATTTACTACAGTCACTTGACAGAATTTCTCTGAAATATAATTTTTAAAATTTTTGTGGGTACACAGGCATACATATTTATGGGTTACATGAAATGTTTTGACACAGGCATGCCATGTGAAATAAGCACACCACAGAGAAAGGGTAACCATCCCCTCAAGCATCCTTTGAGTTACAAGCCATATGATTACAGTTTAAGTGACTTTAAAATGTACGATTATTATTGACTACAGTCACCCTATTGTGCTATCAAATAGTAGGTCTTACTCAGTCTTTTTAACTATTTTTTCTTTGTGCCCATTAACCATCTCCACCTACTCCCAGCCTCTAACTATCCTTCCTGGCCTCTGAAAACCAGTCTTATACTCTCTATTTGACAGAAATTTTAATGAAAGGATTTCACTTCAAAATCCATATACTTAGAATGACCACTGTTTATGGGAAATAAATTTAAGACGTAAGTACAGCTGAAACAAACGTCCAGCATGGATCCAAACTTCAAGTTCCCTGAAATAACATCCAAAACTGAGATCATAACATGCAACAGCAAACAAAATAGATTTTTTACTTAATTTCACAAGAGATTAGCTGATTTTCTACCAAATCAGCCACGACACCAGATCTCTGAAAGCAGAGGGACAATACCTGGAAACTGGGAGGCACCCATCACACTGTGAGAAGTCATTTATCAAACAGGTGAGCAGCCAAAAGAGAAGAAGAGAATTCTAAAGCATTTTCATTTCCACAGCTTAGCTACTATGCACTAGCTAAATGTAGTTCTGTGAAGGTTACTCCAAGAAAAAGCACCGATAAGGATGAACTCAGAGAACTTCATGAATTTCTCCCAATAAAGGAGTCAAAATTCATAGATATTATAATGGCTCTATTGAAGGGATAATAATTATGCCCACATGAAGTCTAAATCTAGCCTGTTAAGCCACCCAATTCTGTGAATTTGTGCCACATCTTTGACAAACTGTCAATTTCAAGAATGGGTTCAGTCACAATCTGAATGACTCCAGAGAGCAGTTTGCCTGGCTTCACTAGATGTTTCCATTTCTTCTGAGTAACAAGTAGAAATGACATACCCTTTTAAGGACTCAACTTAAAAAGACAGCTCTTACCTGAATTTGGCAGCTTAACTTCTACAGCGAAGGTAACCACTTCTTCTTCCAAGATGTCGACAATCTTTATGGCGCAGTACTGCTCCATTAACAGTGGTTTAGTAGCTTTGATACAGTCAGTGCTCCAACTCCCTTCTGCTGGGATAACATTGGCTATAAAGCACTTTATGGCCTGAAAGATTTTATGCAGGTTACTTACAAAAATTACTATTTAAAAATGACTTTTTAAAATTAATGGTGTATAAAAGAATGTATTTCATGCTGAAAATTTATCACAAATCTTCAAGTACTTGTCAGATACACAATTTCATGTATAATTATTACTCTGTTCCTGTTCTATTGCTAACACTTACTTTTGATACTTGAAGCTTGAGAAATTCATGAAAGAATAATTATCCCTAAATTCTACATAAATTAAGGCCACTTCCAGATATGATAATAAATACAGAAATGATTGTTTTGAAAAGCAAATTGAAAAAATGTACCTAAAAATGTTAGTTTGTTACCTTGGGCAGCATTTAACTAAATAAGGTCAAGATAGTCACTGAGTGTTTATTTATATAGTATAGGTACAAAAACACAGCAGAATAGAACAAGCAAACATTGTGCCCATCAAAACATTGAAAACAGCTCCTCTAGGACACTACTAGAAATCTAAAAAGTAAAAGACACTCACACAAGGAGGATACAAGTCAATTTTTTTGTTGAGTTGGTAAATTCTGTTTAATGGAATTATTTCTTCATTTCCATAATCAATATACAAGACGTGTGCCTTCTTTTGCAGCACATCAACATCTTGTATGATCACTCTATTCCAGGTCTGAAAGTGAAATATAATGGTATTCTGCATCAAAACAGCATTTCACAACCTTAGATTTAAAAACCCTCAATCCATAGAACATGCAAAGCAAAGGCTCCTATTCTGAGGCACTCATTTAAGAAGTCAATTTTCTAAGAATCTTGCTAAGAAATCCCTAAAACTGTCTAGTTAGGACATGCTATTAATAATATGCACAACTATTCCAAAGCTATTTCTAGGCCATGGGACTAGCACACACTAATGCCTCAGCTACACAAATAAAACACAAGCTCTAAGACTAGCAATCAGGCTATAACCAGTAATTCAGGAACCCGTACACAGAGCTGGAAAGGGGTAAGACAGGGAGGAAGCAAGCTGAACAGAGCACGGGATACTGAAGAAGAGGAACAGAAGGGTGATCAGAGGCTGGCTTTAAGCCTTGTCATGCATCATTAAAAGCTCTGATGTTCAGTTGATATTACCAAAGTTAGCTCAAATATTTGATTAAATATTTCATTAGGGGTTACCTGATCAACAGTATACTTGGCAACACAAACTTCCCCCTTAACAGGAATATAGTCTTTTTCATGCATGTTTGCATATGTTTCTTTCAAGCTGGCAGAGAGTTGGTTCATGTATTCTAAAACTTCTGAAGAATATAACTGCACATAAAAGTCCCCTGGGTGTTTGAATTCAGTAACTGTACCCTTTCAAAGATAAAAAAAGAGGAATAATTCATAAGGCACACAAGCAAATGTAAATTTCTTAAAGCTTTCTAAGATAGAAACAGCATTGTAGGCAGTTTTTGCAATGTTTATTAACTTAATCAGATGTTTTGTAGCTATCGTGCGAACTCAAAAATAGGAAACAAGAAAATACATACAGTTCTCTGGATCTCTGTCTATGGAGACTGAAGAATAACAAATACCTTTATTTCCATGGTTTTCTTGAGTTGTAGGCTTCTCAAATCAGAAAACATTATTTTCTTAGCCCAAATGGCTATTTCCTTGGTAATTCCAAGTGGACAGTCACTCTGGTTTGGAAAAAATCAAAACGACAACAAAAGAAAAAACAAAAAACACAAAACTGAGTTACTTAAAAGCACGTTTTAACAATTCCATGAGCTCTACATGCCAGAATTGCAGCCACAATATCCTGACTCTTAGGCTTGAATTAAAGAACACAGAAATAGGGAAGGCCTCCAAGAGCCACTAAAACCCACTGTCCACAGGCAGCATGCACAGCACTGGGGATAAGCCAAGAATAAGGTCGTGCTGGTAAAGAGAAGGTTGAGTTTATTTTAAAAAAAAAAAAAGCGGTGGTGGTGTAGGTAGTACTTTAAATCTGCACTTGTTAATGTTTTCTGTAAGAATGAATACTTGAAGTCACATTTTTTTAAGTAGAAGCTAGAAGCAGCTAAAGCTAAAAATTATTCATAAATATGAGCTGGACATGACAGATGCTTTTCAGATTACAAATAATTCAGCCCATGTAGTTGTCTAAATGGAGGAGAACTACTATCATAAAAAAATACTCCTTTGATAGATAAGTAGGCCCTATTAAAGTACAGCGCACAAAGCTAAAACCTGTGTCTGCAGAGGCTAAAGGGACTCTAATCCACATGACTTTACACTGAGATGCTGCCACGTCCTTTTTGAATAGAAGACCGGAAATAATTCTCGAAAACCCTTGAGCCGAGGTGGAGGTTGCAGTGAGTCGAGATTGCGCCTTGCACTCCAGCCTGGGCAACAAGAGTGAAACTCTGTCTCCAAAAAAAAAAAAAAAAGCCCCAATCATATCACTATGGTGTACATATTTATGTAATAGGAAACTTGCTTTTAAATATCGATAAAATACAGAAATAGAAATACGCCCAAAATATTTATCTGACATCCTCCTAATTCAATAAAGAAGAGTCACTGAAAATTTAAAGACAAAATATGCTATACCTTATTGTTTACTTCCACATCCTTTGTTTCAAAAGATGATTTATTATCTTCAAGTTTGTGGAAACTGAAAGCAACAGATTACAATACTTATACTACACAGGCAATTAATGTTAGGGACTATAAACCACAATTATGGCACATTCTCAATGAACAAAACCCTGAAAGAACAAAACAGTTTCTTCCAGAATCACAGTGGTAATGTAAAGCCTCCCAATGCTGGCTACACAGTGGTCCATATCTTGTGTGTGCATAGGTGTGCTTCTTCCAAAAGCCACCTAATGAGAGAGAGTATCTCCAAGCCTCAGTATTCTTATCTGTAAAATGGAGATTAACTCCCTACATTACTTACACAGAATTTTGGGGTCATATGTGACACTGTTTTGTAAACTGGTAAATGCCATGCAAGTACAATTTATTAAAAATAAAAACACAACTCGAGAGGCATGTAAGAGTTCCAAGCTTATTAAAAACCAGGGAAGTACACATGACTAAAAGTAAGGCATTCTAAAGCTCTGAACATTAAAGAAAAACTCTTTTAAGGTTTTAAATAACATGTACTATCTAATAAAAAAAATACGAAAATTAAGTTCATAGAGCTGTTTACTTCAGATTTGTACACTTTGCTATAGAGCTTAATAAAAGTAACTTCTACTTGGTTGTGGTCTGCTTAATTGGATCCTTATTCTATCAGAAAAAGACTTTTTACATAATCCTTAATGAATAAAAAGATCATGGACCCTTACTTTGGTTGAACAGGCTTGCACACGATGCTGTGTGCCGACCAGTCTCTTCTCTGACATGCTGTGGAGCAATAGTAGGTCTGCTTGCACTGAGAGCACCTCAGAGATCCTAGAGAACACCACCCATCACATCACCAATGTCACTCCAAATAGTTCACATTAAGATCAAGACATTCTCAAAGCCCACACTTTATCAAACATCATTCTATCAACCATATTAAGAAGACTATCTGAAGAGAATTGTACTGTTTAGGAACAGGTATTCAGATTGCATTTTTAAACTCCCGTAATACAGAGAAAAAAGGACTACAGAGATTTTAAAAAGGGAGAACAGGCTGGGACACATAACCGAGTTTCCTAAAATAGAATACATGTTATAAAAGCAGCAATCCACTGGGTGCAGTGGCTCACACCTGTAATACCAGCACTTTGGAAGGCCGAGGCAGGCAGATCACCTGAGGTCAAGAGTTCAAGACCAGCCTGGCCAACATGGTGAAGCCTCATCTCTACTAAAAACACAAAAATTAGCTGGGCATGGTAGTAGGCGCCTGTAATCCCAGGTACTCAGGACACTGACACATGAGAATCGCTTGAACCCGGGAGACAGAAGTGGCAGTTGAGCTGAGGTCATGCCACTGCATTCCAGCCTGGGCAACGAGAGTAAGAATACAAAAAAAAAAAAAAAAAAAAAAAAAAAAAAAAAAAAAAAAAAAAAAAAAAAAAAAAAAAAAAAAAAAAAAGCAGCAAGCAGTGGTGCAAACGGTGCAGTGGCTCACACCTGTAATCCCAGCACTTTGGGAGGTCAAGGTGGGTGGATTACTTAAGGTCAGGAATTCAGGACCAACGTGGTCAATATGATGAAAGCCTGTCTCTACAAAAAGACAAAAATAAGCTGGGCATGGTTGTGTGCACCTGTAGACCCAGCTACTCGGGAGGCTGAGGCAGGAGAATCGCTTGAACCCAGGAGGCAGAGGTGGCAGTGAGCCAAGATGAAGCAAAACTTTGTTGCAGTGAGAACAGACTTGTACAAGTGACTGAAATGGCTTACTGTGTATCATGAAAAACAACAACAAAAAAAAACAATGAGAATCACACCAAAAAAACACAGAGACTTTGAAATGAAGTTTTTTTTAATCCTATCAGTGTTCATAAGAAACAGGTTATTGGCCGGGCGCGGTGGCTCATGCCTCTGATCCCAGCACTTTGGGAGGCTGAGGCAGGCGGGTCATGAAGTCAGGAGATCGAGATCATCCTGGACAACATGGTGAAACCCCATCTCTACTAAAAATACAAACAATTAGCTGGGCGTGGTGGCGCACACCTGTAATCCTAGCTACTCGGGAGACTGAAGCAGGAGAATTGCTTGAACCCAGGAGGTGGAGACTGCAGTGCGCAGAGATTGCACCACGGCACTATAGGCCAGGTGACAGTGCGAGACTCCATCTCAAAAACAAACAACAACAACAAAAAAAAACCAGGTTTCTAAAAACCAGAAACAAAACAACCCCACAAAGAAGTAACCACCAACCAGTCTGGCCTCAAATGCTCCCAACCTAAAATGAACTTAAAAAAAAAAAAAAAGAGTTAAATATCCAAGTAACCAGTAATAAACACAGGAAAAGCTGCTCAAGATCAGCGATCATGAGAGCACTGCAAATTTAACTGTAAACTGGTAAATGCCATGCAAGTAAAACTTATGTATTGAAAAATTAGAACCCAAGAGGCATATGACAGTTCCAACTTATCCAAAGGAAGGACAGACACCACCAAACGTGGATGAGGATGCAGAACAACCAAAACTCCCTACCAATGGGAATAGAAAATGGGACAACACCTTGGCAATGGTTTGGTAGCTTCTTAGACGGTTAAACATAGACCTACCCTTTGACTCAGTCATTCTACGTCTGCCTGTGCACCCACGATAAATGAAAACATATGCAAACACTTGTACAAAAATGTTTAGAGAGCTCTATTCATAACAGACAAAAGCTGGACCTAGCCAAAATGTTCAACAATAAGAGAAACAGATCAACTGTGGTAAAAGAATGCAATGAGATACTACTCAGCAATAAACAAAAAAAATAATGATACATGCAACAGCATGGATTAATCTCTAAAGTATTGCTATACCTGAAATAAGCTTTACATAAACGAGTCCATGCTGTATGATTCCACTTATATGAAATTCTGTGACAGGCAAAATTGATTTATGATTAAAAAAAAAAAAAAAAAAAAACAGTGGTTGCTTCTCAGAAGTAGGGACTGGGAAAGGACATGAGAAAACTTCCTGCGGAGACAGAAACATCCTATATTACGACAAGGATGTAAGTCTGTGACTTACAGACTTTCAGTGCATTTGAGTTTCACCTAAAAAAACTATAATCATCCTCATCCACTGAGGAAGCAGAAAGAATGGGAAGGAATGGGTGAAGAGGCACGGCAGGATGCTGACAGCTGCTGAGGCTGAGACAGGTGTGTGGCATGTGGACACTGTTCACTTAATGTTTAACATTTACCATAATGAAAATGTTTTTCAAATATGCAGAAGAAGAATTCAGACACCTAAGAACAATATGCTTACCAAACAGGCCACAGCGATGGCAAGTTGTTGACCGAAGAGGAGGTCCTAAGGAGGTGAAGAGCCCTGGATTATTTATGGACAAGGAATTCTCGACCAACTTGTGTAATTTTTTTGACTTTGCAGGATGTACATTATTTTCGGGCTTCTATTAAGGACAGAGAAGAGCAATGTTAGAATTTGACAATAACTTTTCATTTAAATAGTAGATTTGGGACTACTTCGGAGAAGATCAAGTAGATGTGCTTTTCCTTATTCCTGCTATTAAGGTAAACTAAAACCTTGAACTTATACATAAAATAAACATAAGGTGACTCTGGAGACCCAAAGAACGACATGGCCATCAGGTCTCTGGGTTTTCTTTTTGCCTCATATATACCAGACTGGGTCATGGAGAAGCCAGCAACCAGAAACGCCCAAAGGCAGGGAATATAAAAGTTCCAACAAGAAAAGCCCTGCTCTCTAGCTGGGCGTGGTGCCTGCACCTGCAGCCCCAACTACTTCAGAGGCTGAGGGGAGAGGAACGCCGGAGCCTAGGAGTTCAGGGCTATACAGCGCTCCGATAGTGCCCGTGAATAGCTGCTGCACT